TAGGAAAGAAAGGACAGCGCTTCCACGAAGGGCAGAGTGAAGCCGACGAATGTAGGACTGTGCCGGGGAATTATGGTGTAATAAATGATAACAACGTTGATAATATAACAAAAAAACTAACCCTAAACCCCCCCCCCTCCCCCCCCCCCCATGCTCCGAATTTGGGACTACCCCGGGGAATTCCTGAAGAAATCTCGCGCCGGACGAGGTATAGTGAAACACACAATTTGATTTGACCATATAACAAGGTTGGCATCAGACAGGGCACCACATAGAGCAGTGTTATACAGATACAACTGTAACAGAACAGAGGTTGAACACGCAGAACATGGACCGCAGGAATATGAGAGATACCGAAAAATACTTTATACAAAGCAAACAAAAGATATTTTCCTGCCCTGACGCTGCGAAGCATTCCAGGAGTAGAGACAAGAATGAGAAGTACCCAATTTACACACACACACACACACGCACACACGCACGCACACACGCACGCACGCCCGCCCGCACGCACGCACGCACGCCCGCACGCACGCACGCACACGCACGCACGCCTTTCAGACAGCTTTCTCTTCCTATATATGCATATTTATTGCACGCACGCACGCACGCACGTATATGTAGGGGGAAGGGGCTGGGCCACAGTCGACTGCAGATTTCTATAGTCGACTGTAGCTCAGTCCCTAAATCTTTTTTGGATGCTTAAGAGGCTGAGAAATGGATGTCAACCGAAATTCTGCAGTTGATGGATGAAAGAAGGAAGAAAAAGAATGATAAAGAAGAATACTCTAGAATACAAAAAGAAATAGTGAACAAATGCAAAGTGGCTAAAGAAGCCTGGCTGAATCAAATGTGTACAGAGATTGGGGAAAATCACGGGAAAGACTCACATTCCATGTACCAACAGATAAATATGTTAACAGGAAAGATGACACGTAACAGCACTGGATGTTTGATATCAAAGGATGGTGACTTATTAATGGGACATAGTAATATAATTAACAGATGGACAGAGTATATAGGGGAATTGTATGATGATAATAGACCAGACGTAGAACTGCAGAACAACAATGATGGTCCACCAATAATGACTGCAGAAGTTGAGGATGCAATACATCATATGAAGAAAGGAAAAGCACCCGGGCCAGACATAATCTCACTGGAAGAAATCGAAGCACTGTGAAATTTTGGAATTGAAATAATAACTAAACTTTTAAATGATATTTATAACAGTGGGTATAATCCAAATGACCTTTTAAAATCCATATTTATAGCTCTGCCGAAGAAACCAGGCACTTTAAAATGTGAAGACCATCGCACAATAAGTCTTATGAGTCACATGACTAAGATTTTACTGCGAATAATTATGAGAAGAATAAGAAACAAAATTAAACCAGAAATCAGCGATGAACAATGTGGATTTGTAGAAGGAAAAGGTACAAACAATGCCATATACATCCTAAGGACATTGTCAGAAAGAGCTATAGAAGTAAAGACTGATTTGTACTTATGCTTCATAGACTATACAAAAGCATTTGACTGTGTGAAGCATGAAGAAGTAATCAAACTGTTAGAAAAATTAAACTTTGATGGGAAAGATCTAAGAATAACAAAGAATATGTAATGGCAGCAAACAGCAGCTATAAGAATTAACAACTGTTTGGGTACATTTCAAAGCATAAAGAGGGGCGTACGACAAGGATGTGTACTTTCACCTGATTTGTTTTCAATATACAGTGAATATATTATGAGATCTTTAATTGATATGCCCGGAATCGTGGTTGGTGGGCACAATATAAACGATTTACGTTATGCTGATGACACAGTCTTGATAGCAACAAGTCAGAAAGAATTACAGGAAATGATAGACATTGTGGTGTTAGAAAGTGGAAGAATGGGCCTCAGTTTGAATAATGGGAAGACAGAAGTAATGGTGGTATCAAAGAAACAAATTATTCCTAAATGTGTAATAAAAGTCAATGGTGTTATTTTAAGACAAGTACAGAAATTTAAGTATCTGGGCACATGGATAACATCAGATGGAAGATGCATGACTGAAATAAGAAACAGAATTGGACAGGCAAAAACTGCATTTTATAAAATGAAAAACATCTTGTGCAATATATCTTTGTCATTGAGAGTTAGAAAAAGAATTCTTGCTTGCTACATACATCCAGTTTTAACATATGGATGTGAATCCTGGACAATCGGTAGGCAGGCCAAACAATTTTTAGAGGCCTCAGAGATGTGGTTTTACAGAAGAATGCTTAGAATACCTTGGACAGCCAAAAAGAGCAACCAAGAGGTTTTAAAAGAGGCGGGAGACCGAAGACAACTTATCACTGACATCAGAGGGAGACAGTCATCATTTTTCGGCCATGTTATGAGAAGAGGGAAAATAGAACATGTTGTGACCACTGGAAAGATCTGTGGAAGGAGGGATAGAGGAAGACAACGAGAGAAGATGCTTGACAGTCTTGTTGCATGGCATGGAGGTGTGTCGGCACACGAACTGATACATGCTGCAGGAGATCGCGGATTATGGAGAGGCATGATCGCCCACGCCAGTCGGCAAGGCACCTGATGATGATGATGATGATGAAGAGGCTGAGTTCCTATGTTGGATTGGATTGGATTTTTTACCCCACCAGGACATCACACAAGCGATAAACACCCGATGACACAAAGTGCCACCATGCGGATGAGGATCACCGTGGAGAGGTCCCAGAAACCGCGTTCAGACATTTGGCCATAATGATGACCTGCCTATATTGCGGCCCCTGGCAAAAGCCAGAGTGGGGCTTCAAATAACAAAAAATTACGTCCTAAGAAGGACGAAAAGTATGTGTAGTTCCTATGTTCCGACGCCTACGCTTATGTTTAGGGCTGACTGATATGCTCTAGCCACTTAAGCATTACACAGCTTGAGAGCCCCTGATACTGACTATTAAGAAAAAGATTGGCCCAATATCCATAGTACAAAGCTACCTGGCCACCCCAGCACCACACGGCCAGGGTTGCCATACTGGCATTTTTTATGCCAGATTCCACAAATCTGGCATATTGAAAATTGAACTGGCATAAGATAATGAACTGGCATATTCTGGCATATTTGGGTTTTTCCTGGCATTTCTTATCAAGATGTGCTTACATTTTCTTCATAGTTCCTCTGTAAAAACACGCAAATTTACTAAAAGCAGTATTTACTGGATTTCTTGCTTTAATTTCCTTGCAAGTGGCTACAGAAGAAAACTTATTTAATTTGACTTATAAGGAAATCAAAAGGTATGGTCAGAGTCTTACAAATTGCAATGGGTTTGCATCAGATGGCGCTTCAAACATGGTCAGGTGCAAGAATTCTGTATGGTCCAGAATTAAAGATGTCTCCTTTTTGTGTACAGCTGAAATGTATCTGCCATTCACTAGCACTCTGCATTTGTAGTGGAATTGCCAAGCTGCCATCAAATATTGGTTTCTTACTGTCAGAAATACCTCAGTGGTTTCGTCATAGTGATTTAAGAAAAGAAACCTATAAAGAACTGTTTAGAGTGATGAACACATCTACGGAGTTTGAATCAGAACGAACTGCTCCTCTTCCATTTGAGAAACTGTCATCTACTAGGTGGCTTGTGCGTGAAAATATTTATGTTTAATATGTTGGTGAACTGGGAAGAATTTAAAGCTTATTTCACATGTGCTTAACTAGCACAGGCAACGTTTGACATAAAATATAAAGTATGATTGTTAAAGGAAATGCTGCTAGACCACAATAATTCTTTGTACTTTGTGTTTGCGAAACCAGTTGTACAAAAATTTTAAAGACTAAACAGTCTTTTTCAACAAACAAAAGCTGATCCTCATGAACTACACCAAGAATTGTCATGCACCAGAAAAATCCTAAGAACAGACTGTATGACGTCAATGAGCAAAAACAAAATATTCATCACGTTGACTTTGGTATTAAATTCGTAACGGAATGTAATGCGTTCCTACAGAAGAATAACAGGACTGAAGTTCAGATAGAAATAAACAATGTTAATGAAAAGTGCGTGTCTGTGCTGGAGGAAGTTCTCAATCAAATTACGTGTAGACTTCCCACAGAGAATATATTTCAAAATCTGTCAAATTTGAGCCCTTTGGCAGTTTTAAATCAAGTATCAAGGACACATTTTTGAGAGCTACCATTTTTACACCTGGCAGAAAACAGCGTGAGTATTATAGAAGAACAGTACAGAAAACTGATGGCTACCAAACTGATTGCTGTCAACTGGAAAGAAGAAGCTACATTTAAGAAGGATGGATTACCTACAAACAAGGAAGATTTTTGGATACTTCGACACCAGGCATTTAAAGAGTTGGCCACTTTAGCCCTTACTTGCCTAATAATGCACATTAGCAATGCTGTAGTTGAGAGAATATTCTCTCTTGTTACTTCAACTAAATCAAAAGAAAGAAACAAAATACAACTGGATTTTCTTGATGCAGTTGTTAGAATTAGAACAGAACTATTGATATCAAAGAAATGTGGCAAAGACTTCATTCTATCTGAGAAAATGCTTAAAGATTTTGTATCTGAAAAGGTTTATGCTGCATCTTCCACTGGTTCCAGTGAGGATGACAGTAAAGAATTCAATCTAGAGCTTTTGATGTGAAGTGAGTACAATGTTACACTTTATTTGGCAATTTTCTGGCATATTTTGAGTTTTGGTTTGGCATAAAATTAAGTTTTTTATCTGGCAACCCTGCACACGGCGGAACTCGGAACCGGTGTCACATCACGAGTATTCACGAGACGGCAAGGACGTGGTATTCTCGTCACTCTGCTAGTTTTTGGTAATAAATACACGTTTTTAACATATAATTAATGATATAATGTACTGTTTTATAAATTCGTATAATCTTTTCGGTATAATTAAGTAACGTTGTAAGGAAAATTCAGATTACTAGGCTATATAATTAATTGAAAATACATTTTTCTTGCAGACCAACTAACTAGAACCATGTCCGACTCACTGGTGTCAGCAAGTCGGAACAACTTGTTCTGTAATCCGTTCTTCACGAAGGCACGATGTGAGAGTCATGTGAACCCATCTAGAACAATTGCTGCTGCAGCAGCGTCAGGTAATATTACTACTAATTCTTGATAGATGAAATCCTGTCCTGTGTATTCACATCCTGTCCAGTCAGCGCCTTTGACCTTTCTCAGTAACATTCATCTTCTTTAAATGTCTGTCCTCACTTTTTTCTGCCCATTTGTTTACCATTCTATTGCAACTATATAATGGTCTAAAAGTCAGTAGCTGTGGCTTAGGTGTTACTTAATGTGAGACCCTTTGTAATTTCCTTGATGACAGGTTTGATACCATCTCTGAATACTCTGATCTCCTTGTGTTGGTTTCAAGTGCTTTTGAGAGTTGACCTTCAGAAAGCAGTGGCAAACTGCTAAATGTAAAATTATTTCGTGAAATCTCAAACAGTAAAAAAAAAATTCTGCTGGAGTTGGTTCTGCAACATCCTGTACACACACAGCTAACTTTAACCCACTCACTGCCAAGCCAGTTAACCCATGCACTTTCCTAGATTCTGCATATTTCTAGTATTTACTAAAAATGCTCTGGTTTCACAACTGTTTAATATTAAGTCCTATGTTGCATTTTTTGCACCAAATATATTTATATATATATTTTTTTATTTGTCCCAAAAAATCCCAGATGAGAGCTTTGCCTAGCTATGAAATAAAATTCTGCAAATTCAGCGTCTGTTTGCCATTTTGCGTTAAGAATTTGTGATGCAGTGTAACTAAATTGTCTGACTCAAAACCCCCCCACAGAAATGACCTTTTTCCCAGAATGGGATATCTGGCATTATGGGAATCACACCTAGATAGATATCGATTGCATTGTAAAACGATTTTCACTAACTCCAAGCCACAGAGCCAAAATGTATCCAATCTACAATAACATTCGCAACTAACAATACAAACCTGAAGCACAAAACAGTCTTCACAAACTTATGTACTTACCTCAGGCTGCAACATCTGATAAGCGGAACATTTTCTTTTCAGTTTTGACAAATTTTTTATTTGTAGTTTTTAAGAATAGAATTGTCTTAGTCATCAGAAATATCTTCACCTTTACTTTTCGCTGTAAAAACATCAAGAAAAATCTCCCATAGCATTAGAAGTATTCCACAAACATGCCACCATGTTGACTTTGATGATCAGCTGTCATTATCAAAACATCCGCCTAATGCATCAACAACATGGGAGCTCACCCAAAAAGTTCGTGAAAAATTTAAGCACTGCTTGATAGTTTCCATTAAAAAAAATATAGAAAAATGAATGCACTAACAGCTTCAACTACATTTATTGCAAAATTCATGATTTTAACGTGGCCTCAAGCATCCAAAGTTATGATCCCACGGAGTGTGATCAACTGACCGCCAGTCAGTTGATCACAAAATATGCAATCGTGGTAGTCATTGTGGTAATAGTTAGAATATGTGATCTGACACCCGAACAACAGTATTATTAATATTAAATAAAAAGAAAAGGATCCTTTCCACATCTTTAAGCGTATTACGACCTATATTTTATGGACCAGTCGGCACTCAGTGGGTGATGTAGTCAACATCATGCCAGCTGCCTTTACTTCCCATTACTATGCCTGGTACCTACTCAAGGCTGCATTAACCTGGCAGCCAAGCCACTAAGAAAAAAGTCAGACTATCAGGACCTGAACAACGATCTTCAGGCGTGTTTCTGGGCGCTACACCACGGTGACTCCCTTTAATATTTCATACCTTTACCTTAATCGTAAAAATATAACAAAAGTCATATAGTTATATTTTCTTGTAATGGTTATAATTTCTAAACCGGAAGCCATGTATCTAGCACTAGAAAGTAGCAGTTAAAACAGCATGTTAAGGTTTACTGTGAATATCCTGTTATTGCAGATGTAGACTACCACATCTAGTGGGTTTTTTGTTGTTGATGATTTAGTAGATGATGCAGCTATCTTTATAAAGTAAAAGGTCTCAGAGTTTTGTTGCATGGCCATTAGTAGGTAAAAGGTGCCATGCCTAATCCATTGTTATCTTCTTCTTGAGATGATCCCCGTGTACGTTCCGGGGCACCATTGTTGGGAAAACAAGAAAAGACCCACTTTCTACTCAGCAAGCATGTCATAAGAGTCAACAATTGGGAGCTTCCTTGGAGTGCATCTGCCTCAGAGGCAAGTAACCAACAGTTTGCATACACATGAGTCAAACCTGAAAAACATGTGTGCACACACCGCTCAGGTTTTGGAACAAGTGTGAAGTCCAGAGGTGGATGAACAACCAAAACTTTCTGCTGGAGTTTACTGCCGGATAACGCAAAGAAGAAGACGATTTTGAGATAAGAAAAAAGGGCCTTATTGTGACAACCAGAAAAGAAATTTGGAAAAAGAAATAGAAGAAAAAATAGGCAAGTAACCAACAGTTTGCATACACATGAGTCAAACCTGTAAAACATGTGTGCACACACCGCTCAGGTTTTGGAACAAGTGTAAAGTCCAGAGGTGGATGAACAACCAAAACTTTCTGCTGGAGTTTACTGCCGGATAACGCAAAGAAGAAGACGATTTTGAGATAAGAAAAAAAAAGGGCCTTATTGTGACAACCAGAAAAGAAATTTGGAAAAAGAAATGGAAGAAAAAAATATAAACTTGCAGCTTCTTTTTTTTTTTCATTGCACAGAAAAGTTTAATATGAATTGATACATACTGTCAAAAATTGCAACATATGAAGATGCATAAGCACCAAAGCCAAGAAGCAAGGCATTTGATGACTTGAATTTTATTTGAAGATAGTGCATTTAAAAAGGCAGTTAAAATCTGCCACCCCCATTTCATAAACATTGATTCTTACTTAAGTCTTCTGCGACCACTCAGGAACATTTAGCCTGTTGTGTTAGGGTTTACAGCAAGGCTCTTATATCTCCACCTTTCAGCCCAACACATCTAATTTCATCAGAACCCCAATTAATAACCTTTTATAACATGCTTGTTGGAGCAGTGGGTCTTTTGTCTACACTCCTCCCCTATCCCTGGAACCCACATATGGGAATTCTTCTTCTTCTTTGCGTTCACCAGCTGTAAACTCTGGCAGAAAGTTCTAGTTGTTTGTCCACTTCTGACTGTGTGAGTGTTTTGTGTGCATCCGTTTTACAGATCTGACTCATTTCTATGCAGACTGCTGGTTCCTTGCCTCGCAGGCAGATGCACTCGGACTTTAAAGGAAGCTCCCAATTAGTTGACTCTTATGACATGCTTTTGGTTAGGCGGTGGGTCTATTCTTGTTTTTCCTATAACGGTTCTGGAACCCACACAGTGTGTGGGAATTATGGATTTATAATTTATGAAAAGCCATACTGGTACAGTGACTGGATGCTAGCCTGCGGGCTAGAAGGTGTTGAGTTTAATTGGCCTGTACACATTATGGGTCTAGCATGATATGCCTCATGTGCCAGTAACATGAAATGGGTCTATTAATGTATGCGAAGGCTGTTACAATAACACTGCCTATACACCTCATGATCACTATGTGAAAGTGAAGCATATTTTCTCTTTGACAGTTTGCCCTTAACATAACTGCATCAAAGTGACTTTGAGCAATGTCAAGTTTGGTTTGTGTTCATTCAACCATGTCGGAAACATAGTGCACACAGCAGTGTTATTAGGTCAAGCTTCAAGTTGCAGATACTGTCAGTGTTGAATGCTGGGTTCATTACTTGTTTTCTGAAACATGAATGAGAATTTTTAACAGCAAAACTTTGGGGAGGGGGGGGGGGGGGTCTCTTTTTTAGGCATTTTATGAAATGCTTTTATTGGCGTAAATGATTGTTAGAAAGTACAGATATTAATTTTACATATGTACAATAAAAGATTAAGGTTGTTTTAAAGAAAGGGCTTCCCTGTAGACCTGGCTAAAATGGGTATCAGGTATTGTTCTAAAGCAGGATGGCCCACGGAAGCTTAGCAAGTGGCCCACAGATCATAACTAGTTTATTGATGATCTTTGTATGCTTAGGCTCGGACTTCTGGCCCGAAACGGCCATGATAATCATAATTGTTCAGAAGTTTTGCCCCTGAGTAAACTTAGTTGCATAGCCCTGTTCTAAGGAATAAAGGTGGCTAGTGTGACACTGATGATATCATCCATTAAGTTCCACTTCAAAGCTTTAGGCTTGCATCACATACCCAGTGGGTCTCAGGGCAAAACTTTTAAACCACATATTAAATACACCTGGAGGTGCTGAGTTTTGTTGTTGTTTTCTTTGTTTAAATGGCTGCTTGTGCATAGAAAATGCTAAACAAGAGTTAGAACTGTCACCTAAATGATTAGAAATGAAGGTAACAGGATGTGTTAGGAAGAAAATTCAGTAAATTTGGTGTTAGGTGGCAGCAAGACTGTCCTGACAGGAACTAGAAGACATTCATACAGGCTGACTTGTAGGATGCATTTAAAAACATCTACACTCTGAGGCCTTATAGTGAACAGATAATATCACTATGTAATCTCTTTTCTTATTTTCTGCTATTTGTCTCCTCAAGGAGCAAGTAGCCTTAGCCAATTCATAGCTAACTTTAGCATCGCTTGCAGCTGACCTTGTGTCCTCATCTCATTGTCTAATTCTTATCTCTGTGTATCTTTTGGTCTGCCTTTTTTTTCTTTAACTCAGTAAGGAAGGAAATGATTATTTGGTATGTTTTCTCAGTGTGTGCCCTATTCAATACCAGCATATTTTACCTACCTCTTTATTCATTAGTTTTCTGCTAGTGCTCCACGTTAGGGACATTTTCATAACATTTAATTACCTCTTTTCTGAGCTGACACCAGTTAAAATAAATAACAATAAGCATATTAAATCCAGTGTCAGGAATAAACAATTAACAGCCTTTCTTTCAATCTATGGAATTATTTGTTCTGCTGTAATATACATGCTGTTCCCAGTTTTGGGCATACATAATGCACAGTACTGATTATAACTGTCAGACAAACTGTGAAACACCTTTATGATTGACCTACATACATGGGTAAATGTCAAAAAAAAACCTACTAATGGCAAATTCTTCAAATAGAGCTGTCAGATAACTGAAAAAGTCTTGCTTACTCATTCACTTGATGTGAAGAAAACAAATGAAAATTTGTGACCTAAAGATTTCAACTGTTCCTCGACTTTTCCTAAAATATTTTTTTATGTGTCAAGGAAGATCAAAGACCAACCCCACGTCCTCGTCGTGAGAAGTGGTAACAGGACAAAGTAGGGGATTGCTAGGTGTGGGCGAAGTATGGTGTGGCCTCGTGCCACGGGACCGCTACGGTAGCCATGAAGGCCACCCTGGGTCACCCCGTGGGGCTCTGGTGAAGTTGCGACAGGCCTAGCAAGCCGGCAATGGATTTTTTACCGCTACAAAAATCAAAATGAGATATAAACGGACTGATCAAACGGTATCTGACTGGCAATGTTAAGGGACTACGAGACAGAACAGCGAAATACAAGATTGCAACAATTAACACCGCTCCCCTGGGAAATAAAACAGAAGAGATTATTGAAATGATGGAAAAAAGGAAAATCAAGTTAATGGGGCTAGCTGACATAAGACGCAAGGGAAATATTAATAAAAAAATACACAGAGGCTACTTACTAACATGTGCAGGAGGAGAAACATCGAAGAATGGAGTGGGTTTCCTGGTACATCCAGACATATCTAACTACATATTAGACATACATTATCACTCAGATAGAATTATTACTTTGAAAGTTAAAAGAGGAGAACAAGCTGAAACATATATACAGATATATGCACCATGCAATGATAATTATACAGAAGAGCAGAAAGATGAATTCTTTGACGATCTGTCTGATGAGATAAAGAAAGTTGAGGGAAACAGCATACTATATGTTATGGGTGACTTCAACGGGAGGGTAGGAAATAACAGAAGAGAATATGAACAATTTTTAGGTCCATATGCAGCTAAGAACAGTGCTAGAAATGGAAATGGTCAAAGAATATTGGATCTATGCAGCCAGCACAATCTTTTTATTACGAACACATTCTTTGACCATAGAGATTCACAGCTTTACACTTGGTACAAATGGAATGATATCTCCATCAAGAGCCAGTTTGACTTTATACTTACCAGAGTTCAAGGAAGAAGGAGAATTCTTGATTCAAGAGCAATCCCTAATGGTCTATGTGACACTGACCATAAAATAGTTGTTTTAACAGCAAAACATCTTACATTAAAGAAACACAGAAAGAAATTAAACAAAAACAAGGATCTCATCAAGATAGCAAATCTGAAACAGGAAGGAGTAAAAGAACAGTTACAACAGAAAGTAGAGACAGCATTCAAACAACTTCCACATGTAGTTGGCAATTTTGAGGAAGAATGGAGTATATATAAAAACACTATGCTTAGTATTGCAGAAGAATTATGTGGAAAACGGAAGAGTGGAAACAGACGGGGAAATAACAAATATTCACCTTGGTGGTGCGAAGAAGTAAAGAAGCAATTAAAAAGAAAAAAGACTTATATAAACAGTGGATAAAATCAAAGAAAGAAGAAGATTATATAAACTATAGACTGCAAAGGAGAGAAACCAACAGGAGTGTCAAGAAAGCAGAACAAGCATCCTGGGAACGTTTCGGTGAGTCACTAGCAGAAAATGAGAAAACAGCCAGCAGAAAATTTTTCAAAGTGGTTAAAAATATGCGGAAAAGAGATGAGAGCTACAACCCCACTGAAATAATTAATGATAAGACAGGAAGGCCATTGATAGATCCACCCGAGATTGCAGAAAGATGGAGGGAATACTTCAATGAGCTCTTTAATCCTCTAGGAGATCAGCAGGAAAGAACAACTGAAGAGCACAGAGCAACAGTGTTAGAACCACACATACTAATGGATGAAATAGAAAAAGTCATTAAACAGTCTCCCAAATATAAAGCACCAGGAGCTGATAGATTACCAACAACAAACGGCCCCTATTGATTGGCAACATGCAATAGTTATACCATTGTGGAAGAACAAAGGAAGTAAACGAGAATGCGGTCAATATCGAGGCATATCTCTTTTAAGCCATGTTGGCAAAATGTATGCCAAGATAATAGAAACAAGACTGAGACCAGTGATAGAACCACAGCTGGCAGAAGAACAGATGGGATTTAGGAGAAATAGAAGCTGCACAGATGCAATCTTCACACTTAAACAGTTAATAGAAAAGAACATTGAATACAATAAGAACTTATTTGTGGCTTTCGTAGAACAGGAGAAGGCATTTGACAGAGTCGACAGACAATTATTATGGAAAATAATGGCAAGATATGGAGTAAGCGAACACCTCATCGAAGTGTGCAAAAGTTTATACAGGGATTGTAGAAGTGTAGTTAGAATAAATCAGGGAACATCTCATCCTTTCACAGTGACATCTGGAGTAAGACAGGGGTGTGTCTTATCACCACTGCTGTTTATCACCTACATCGACAGTATATGCAAGAATGCCAAGCCCATGAATGAAGATCTTAGTAAGATCAACGAATTACTCTTTGCAGATGACCAGGCCTTGATAGCAGATACAGCCATGAAATTGCAACAACATCTAACATCCATGAATGAAGAATGTAAAACAAATAATATGAGAATCAACACTGAAAAGACAGAAGTAATGTCAATAGGAAAAAATAAGACAGATCTAAACATAACAATAGAATACAAAGGCATTAAACAGGCATCTGAGTTTAAATATCTGGGAACTACATTTACCGAAGATGGGAAATTGGATAAAGAAATTGACATTAGATGCAGTAAAGCAAACCAAGTATTGGGACAGCTAGCCCCCCTCTTACAGCATAAGACAATCCCAATCAGCACAAAGAGACATCTTATTCAAAGCATATTTATTCCAACTCTGTGCTACCAGTGCCAGACATGGTCACTCACAACAAACCATAAAAGAAAATTAGTAACCACGGAAATGAGATGTCTGAGAAGGGCTGTAGGAGTGACCATAAGAGATAAGATCAGAAATGAGATCATAAGAGAACAAGTCAGCACAGAACCAATTCTGGATTACATACAAAGACAGCAAGTGAAATGGTTTGCCCACTTAGAGAGAATGCCTTGTGACACCATACCATACAAAGCATACATGGGAAGAGAAGAAGGACGTAGAGCACGGGGTAGACCAAGAACAAGATGGAAGGATAACATCAGAGAAACTCTACAACAGCACAGTGTGCCTATGGTCGAGGCAGCCAGAAGAGCTAGAAACAGAACCTTATATCTCCCTCGACACCCACAGCGGTAAAAGAGGAAGTGAAGAAGAAGAAGAAGGAAGATCAACAGTTTTGGTTCTGCCTCTTTTGACTGCCTTGACCCTAGATACTTCAGTCATAACATTTCTGTTTTCTGTCTTATAGAAACTGTTAAATAGTTAAAAAAACAGTTTAATACAAACCTATTAAAATTGCTAAATTTTAAACAAATGTAATGTATTCTTTTTAAAAAAAAAAAAAGGGTTTCTTATGATTTACACTTTTCTAATTGACTGTCTTGTCTTCTCAGATAATGATGAAAACTAGAGGTTCCATGTGCAGGTTGGCTAAATGATCAAAATTATATTTCACTTAACAATTGTTGGCAGGGTTTCAAGGGTTTCTTGGAGGAAAATTGTTAAAGTAAAAGATAGCTGCTGGTATATGAGTCTATTACATTACTATACCCTGCTAGAGAATGAATGAAGAATTGACATCATTATTACACTTGGGAATTCTTACATGTGCTCTATCCTATTTTTCATTAGCTAATGAGTTTTTATTCTGATAATGTCAATATTAATTAATTTGACTGAAAGTTTGTTGATCTTCTACCCTATGCACCAAGTCACCTCCAGACTAACTCCCCACTGAATCAGTCCAGCAGATACAGATGCAGTGTTTGTTCTTTCTGCTCCTCTATGTGGCTGATTCAAGAACTTTTACTTCATACCCCTTATAAAGTAAACCTCTCCTAGAAAAGGCAGTCAACCTTCTAATTTCCCCCACACTCCTGCATGCCCTGGGTAAAAAATAAATAATATGCCCAAGTCCTGTAAGCAGTACAAGTGACTCTGTGTAATATACCAGTTTCTACCTTCCAAATCATATTCTGTGAGGATGTTACAAATATAACATGTTGGGCCGGACCACCTTCCAGCCATTTAAAAGCTGTCACTAACTCCTCCACATCCATTCTGTTTCAGGCTCTCTTGTTTTTAAATAATGCCCATTTGTAGTGAAACTGCACCCACTTATTTTATCTCACACCACAAAATCATCTGTGAAAATAACAAAATTGTATAGGTATGGATGACTCTTGATCAGCTGTTATATTTATGCATCAATTTCATTAGCTATCCCCTCTAAAGTACCTATCACTTAGTGATGCTGTGTTGTTAAGTGGTGCTTTCCCCATTTCTCCTCATGCACTATCTTGTCAGTCAAGAAACAGGTATCACAAAAACCTACTAGTTTTGGATACATCGAATTAAGAACAATGCATAATTAGGTTAAATGAACTTTCCTTGAATGTGGGGAGGAGAATGGAAAAAAGCACGAGAAGGATGGTTTTTCTTTTTCTTAGCGCTCACTGGCTGTAAACTGCAGGGAAAGTTCTGGCTTTTTGTCCACTTCTGGGCATTGGTCTTGATACAGAACTAGAGTTTTGCATGCAAATCCATTTACAAATTTTTGGCTTATTTGTATGCTGACTGTTGGTTCCTTGACTCTCAGGCAGATGCACTGTGACGGAAAGACCACAAATTAGTCAGCCACCTTCTGCGACAGGCTAGGGGAATAGTGTGTCTATTGTTGGTTCTCAAAAATGGAACCCTGAAATCAGCACAGGGAGGTTGAAGGTTATGGTGAAGAAGACAAAATCAAATTTTAGTTTAAAGGGTTGATAGGCATTTTGTATCTTTGCTATAAACTTACTGATCTATTGTATTTCAGAGGAGTATAGCTGCGAGTTTGGCTCAGCCAAGTTCTACACACTGTGTGCATTTGGTGGCCTCCTCAGCTGTGGGCTTACACATACCGCTGTAGTTCCCCTTGATTTGGTTAAGTGCAGAATCCAGGTGGACGCTAAAAAATATGGTGGCATCTTCAAGGGATTTAGAGTGTCTGTTGCTGAGGAAGGTGTTAAAGGACTTGCCAAGGGATGGGCCCCAACATTGATTGGCTACTCCATGCAGGGAGTTTGCAAGTTTGGATTCTACGAAGTTTTTAAAATCCTCTACTCAGACTTGTTAGGAGAGGTAGGTGTTGTTTTCTGGTCAAGTTTACACACCTTAACAGCAACTAGTGTAGCAGTATTATATCTGGTTGATCAGGCATGCTCTATCATAGTTGTATATTAATCTGAAGTAGTTTTGCAGTCGCCATGTTTGCATGTCATATTGTGGTTTACATTTAAGTTGTAATATATGCACCTTTTGGACCAAAATATTTGATTTCAGCAAATCTTTAGTCACCACCTTTTGCAACATGCTTGTTAAAGGATAGATATTCATTCTTTTTTTTCTTAAAAAGTGGGACCCTTGAGCTCCCCGGGAATTATTTAAGGGTAATCATTGACTCTGTAATTCTCACTGTAAGCTGTTACTGTAAACCACCTACTTACAAAGCAAAAAAAATACAAAGACGAGATCCAGCTTGTTTGTGTGCCGACTGTTGGTTCTTCACCTCTCAGGCAAATGCACTTAGATTTTTAGGGAAACAAACTGAATTAGTCACCATTTATTCCATGCTTGTTAGGAGGCAGTGGGTTTGTTTTTTCCCCCCAAAAATGTGGGCCCGGAACCAACACAAGAAACAAAAATTACATGAAGAAAATGTGAAAACCTAATTCTGCTGTTTCAGGAAAATACCTATCTGTGGAGAACTAGCTTGTACCTGGCATCTAGTGCATCTGCAGAATTCTTTGCCGACATAGCACTGTGCCCCATGGAAGCTGTTAAAGTGCGCATTCAGACACAGCCAGGCTGGAGTTCAACTCTCCGGGAAGGATTCCCTAGAATTATGAAAGAAGAGGGAATATCAGGGTGAGATTTTGATATTTACAGTATTTAGAATGTTTTCTTCTTCTTCTTCACTTCCTCTTTTACCGCTTCAGGTGTCAAGGGAAATTAAAGGTTCTGCCTTCTCGCTTTTCCATTTGTCTCAACCGTAGATACATCACGCTGTTGTAAAGTTTCTCGGATGTTATCTTTCCATCTTGTTCTTGGTCTGTGTTGTGCTCTTTTGGTGTATGCCTGTTTTGGGAGGCATCACCAGGCACTCTCTCTAAGTGGACAAACCAGCTGATTTTGATTTGCTGTCTTTGAATATAGTTTAGAATTAGTTTTAGGCAGCTTGCTCTCTTATGACCTCATTTCGTATTTTCTCTTCTGGGCAATCCTGCAGCCCTTCTAAGGATCTCATTTTCCATGCTTGCCACCTTTACTTACCAGGATTTTACCTGGTACCCATTTAACTCTTTGAGTCCCAGAGGGTTTAGCAACACAGGCCCAAGAGGTAGTCAAAAGAGACATAAAATCAGCGTATCATGCGTTCATTGGGCTTTGAGGCAGTAACCTGTGAACATATGATGCGCTCCTTGGGACTCAAAAGAGTTAAGGCTGGGTTGGCCAAGATAATTTAAAAAAAGGCTCACTCAAGACTGAATCCACTACTTTTGGATCCACAGGCTGAGAAATTAAAAAGAGTACAAAGTCATCCGCTGCATCTTAAATTTCAGGAGAGAACCAAAAAAAAAAACACCTGAGAGCCTCAGCCATCTTGCCAGAGAACTGAACAAACAGCACCAAGGTCTACTTGAAAGAGATGTTGAATGAAGTGAAAAGCTTAGGTCAGAACCATGGACAAGCAAGCCAGAAAGGCAAATGTAGTCCTAAAAGTACCAGGGATCACTTTAAAAAATGCCCAGACGGAAATACAAGAGAGAACCCTGGCTCTTGCTGTGCTTGAAGAGCAGTATTTCAGCACCACTTGGACTCAGGTTTTCACTGATGGCTCTGCTACAGATGCAGTCAGAAAGGGGATCCGTGAAACATACATTAAACACTATAACAGTAGAACAGAAACTCTCTCTACCAGCGGGTGACATCTGCACTAACTACAAAGCTGAGGCAACTGCCCTCTTTTCCGCAGTCCAGGAACTCATCACTCAAGAACACAGATGGCACAAAATTGTTATACTTAGTGGCTCACTGTCTGTTCTCCAAGCACTGCCAAGCAAAAAACAAGACAAACTAATTGCAGATCTAAGGACCAACATTAATTTGCTCTCAAAGGAAACAACTGGTCTGAAGTGGATAACAGCCCACTGTGGTTTTCAAGGAAATGAGAGAGCAGATGAGCTGGCAAAACTGGGGGTAAACTTCCACAACCTCATCCACCACACAGCTACAAGGAAACCAAAACAGCCCTAAAGCAGTCTTTCAAGCAGGAGTGGAGGTGGAATAGAGACTACACACCAGAGAGAAACAGTATAGACAAACTCAACAGGAAAGAACAGACATACATTTTTAGGCTTCGGACAGGACATTGTGGTCTTAGAGCACATCTGCACAGGATAGGCACTAAAGAATCTGCTCCTGTGATTGTGGGGCGGAAAGACAGACCCCTGAGCACATTCTGTAGGACTGCCCAAACTACTCCCAGCAAAGACTGGATTTGGCTCAAGGGAACACCAGTACAAGAGAAACTGGGGGACCAGTGGCGACCTCAGACGCATGACCCTATATGTGACCCAGACGGCACAAAATGTTTAGCATGGCTGATGTCAAATGCAGCAGAAAAAAAAGGAGGATGATTCACAGGCGAGCATTTGGCCAATACACCATAGCGGCCCCCATTAGGCCTAATGCCAGACACACATTTTAAATAAAAGTTGAACAAAATTTCAAATTTTTGATTAGAAAACTCACTTCATATTTAAGTCATGTGGAATTATTAAATGGAAGATATATTTTTCATCATCACCCCCCTTTGCTAATAGGAGTGTTGGAATTTATAATAAAAAAAAAGATTTTGACCAATAAAACATTTATATATTATTAATGTAATCTAACTACTGTCGGCTCTGTGGCTAAGTCGATGCGAACGCTTCATAATGCTGGGTTCGACCCTAGCTGCGGGCCATGCACCTTGCTTTGGTTTCGACAAGTGGTATCAGGGGCCCGACCGTCCAGAAAGAAGTGACAAAACTACTGGACGTAAATTTGTCTAGAGAAACCACACAACAGCCAGGGGCTGCTGGGGTTGGTTCTGCAACATCCTGCAAAGGATACCCAACTAACCTATAATCTAACTACTATTTATCTTTGTCATTTGATTTATAGTGAGTCAGAAACCCAGATGTTATTGGTTATTACAAAAAGATTAAAATATATAGGTTTAAAGTCATAAGGATTGCCTTCATTACATCATGTTTTATTTCATATAGCTTGATCTCTCTGTCTGTCTTTCTGCAAAATAGCTAGCCATCTGCTAAGAATAATGCTCAAAGCAAGAATTATGTAGCTCTGTTAATTATCTTGAAGGATCTCTGTGAATTATACTAGTCAACTGAATGATGCAGTCTGTTAAATGAACCTGCTACCTTAAACATGTAAAGCAAATGGCCTAACCACTTGACCCCCTTGGAGACCCTGAAAGTATTATTGTCATCAATCATTGTTTTGCAACAAAAACTCACCCCTTCGCTGCAGCTGTGTTTTGAAATTTGTAGCAAATAAATTTCTGCCCTGTTGCCTCAGCCACATTCCCACCAACTCATCATTCTCTTAACTAAATAGACTTTATTTTTTCTCACTTTCAGCTTCTATAAAGGCATTGTTCCTCTGTGGGCACGACAGATTCCATATACCATGATGAAGTTTGCTTGCTTTGAGCGCACAGTGGAAGCCATTTATAAATTTGTGGTTCCCAAGCCAAGATCTGAGTGCTCCAAGTCAGAGCAGCTGGTGGTTACCTTTGCTGCCGGGTACATTGGTAAGTTTAATACATAATCTTATTCATCATGATACATAGAGCCTCTTTTTATGAATCAACAGTAAGCCTTTCTGTATTGATAAAGGGTGTTTGTAAGTTTGTCACTACACTTTGTGCACTTAACAAATTTTTGAAAAACTCGAGTACTTGAAGTCATTTAAAAATGGGCTTAAAAAGTATTTAATTGGTTAACAAAAGTCACTGCTATGGTTTACCACTGTTTGTGGAAGCTGGAAAGTACTAATGACAGTACCATTGTTAACAAGTTTTGGATATGTCTACCACAGCCTTCAAGACATGACTGTACACGTCTCTTCATATTGTCAGTTGTTTCTTGAATGATAATTCTGATTGCAGCAGACGAGAGCCATTCACTGCATATTGCTTTGCGAGCACATTTCTTGATGATACTGTGTACTTCCGTTGACAGATTTGTTCTAAATACAAAATGTAGTGAGGCTTAACAAACACCCTGTACTATTTAAGGTATAGGTTTCATGAATGTTCATTCATGGCTGTCTGTTTATTGGTGTCTGTGTATAATGCTGTAGGTTTTTTCATCTATGTTTTATTCTTATTTCTCAGTTGGACAATGCTGCAACTTTGTTTACTGTAAAGTTGCCATTTTCAGTATTTACAGTGGGATACCAAGATGCTGAACCATAGGGGGTGGTACACCAGAACTCAAACTGTATGTGATCTGAGGTCCTTTTCGGGGTGGGGGGGGGGGGGGGGGGGGGAGAATAGAACTACTCCTCCAGAACAAGCATGTCATAAATGGTGACTAATTGTGGATTTTTTCTTTGAAGTCAGAGTATATCTGTCAGAGATGCGGGGAACCAAAATTACAAACATATAAGCCAGACTGGTAAAATTGATGTGCACGCAAAACTCATGTCCAGAAGTGGAAGAACAACCAGAATGTTCTGCCAGATTTTACAGCCTCTGAATGCTAAGAAGTATCCTTAGTAAACTCGTTCAACCGAACAAAATGCAGCTGTTTAAGGCGATTGTTTACTGTCCGCTGCCTTAGGTAAATTATATCCTAAGCAGATATAATATTTAAAATTGGTTAGTCAATAGAAATCATCTCAAAACACCAGCTTGCATCTGTCGAGAAATAATAGTCATTGTATGTATAACTTCTGCATCGATATATATATATATATACCTTTCTTTTGGACATCCTTATAAAAGCCATTTCACTGGGTATTGTTTATTTCCCTTGTCTTTCATGTGCTGTGCATATCCCTTTCTTTTTTGTTCATTTTTTTTTTATTACAACTTCTTGTTTGGTTTTTGCTTGGTAAAAGATAAGCCCGATTGGAATTGCTGGAATCACACATTCTAATATAATTATTGTCACAGTTTTAGCGTTGACATTTCTAAGTTTCACTTGCTCAGCCTTTAAATTTAATTTAAGAAATGCACACTTTGAATTATGAAAAGATGCATATGAACATGACTGCCTTGTATGTAAGCATACAATTCAGCTTGGTTAAGATTTGTTTGTGTGTGGCTGTATCAATCAGACCATTGTATGTAATAGTCAGACCATACTATATAACTCGCAGTTATTTGCCTTTATAAAAACAAAAGTACACATGAACATGGTTACCTAACAGTTTAAGCTATTAGAGATGTTTGGTTTTTGTCTTGCTGAATAATTCAAACCATTCTATATAATAACTGAAACATACAGTAGAACTAACTGTTTGTTGCCTAAAATGAGCACAAGATACACATAAACATAACTTCATTTTAAGGAAGCAGAAAGTGCACTCCTAAGAATGAGAATGGACTGCCACCATAGATCACTCCTTTGAGGAGATTCAGCAAATAACAAAATGTAAAGATCGGATAGAGACATCATCTAAACATTTTGCTGTTTTTGTGTTATATATTATTGTATCGGAATAGCATCAAGATGATTTTGTGTTTGAATACTAAAACTGTATCTTGTGAATTTTACAGCTGGTGTCTTCTGTGCCATCGTCTCCCACCCCGCTGACACAATTGTTTCAAAATTGAACCAGAAAAAGGGCAGTAACTTTGTTGATGTTGCCAAATCTCTAGGGCTTTTGGGTAAGTTGAGAGACTGCGTGTAGTTATTTAGTTTTAAAGCAATAATGATGTTTGTTAGATGTAATGATAAGATATACAGAAGATGGCTTTATTATTTGTCAAAACATTTGCATTATTTCTATGTGTCATTGCAGTGTATCAGTTTTGTAGCAAATATTTAGATGTGGCAGGAGTGGTTCTACGTCATTTCCCCCTGCAAGCCTAAAGATGAACCCTTAGAGCGTGTGCCATACATGTTTAGTTCTTCCATCAGAGGATTATGAAACAATAAGTAGGAGCAGATGGTGGGTTGAGCTTGAAAACAGAAAACAGTTGTTAATTGTAGTCTCAGGTTTCCTGGACAGATAACTTCATTCTTCAAAGATGCCAAAAAGAATCTGCAAAAAAAAAAAGATAGAAATGCAGACTTCATTCTTCAGAGATGCCAAAAAATCGGCGAAAAAGGATAGAAATGCAGACTTCATTCTTCAGAAAAGGGAAAGAAATAAAAGCTACATTCTTCAGAGATGCCAAAATACATCTAATTTCCACATAGAAAAACAACAGAGCCAGTCCTCTTCAAGACGGATGAAAATCATACTGATTAGAGAAATGAAACCTAGATGGTCCAGATGTTTTGTGCACAGTGCTTCTGGCAGGAGCGGCGACAAAGAAAACTTGTGTGTGTGTGTGGGGGCTTCAAGGTACCTGAGCGCCCATCTTCGGATGCCCTTGGCTTCTGCCAAGGAACTTAACAAATTGCATTAGACACACTGTTTTTTAGACATGGATGTAACAGAATGCATTGGATATTATGTGGTGCTTTCATCTACTAATTATTTTCTTCTTCAGCATTCTGAGCCCTTGAGGTTCCTTGCTGCCAATTTCAACCACCTCAATGGACCTTCTCTTTCGAGTTGGTGGCACCAAGTGTTTGTAGGTTTGTCTGGATATTATCTCTCCATCTTCTTGGTTTGCCTCATGGTCTGTGACCATTTAACCCCCTTGTGCAAATTTTTTTAAACCTCTCTTTCATGTGAGATTTTCTCAATATGCCCCAGCCATTTCAGTCTATTAGCCCTAATGATGCCATTGGTGATTTAAACAGATTATGAATTTCGTTCTTGCTTCTCACTCACCATTCCCTGCTGTTTGCATCTTTGATGTGTCAAAATTTTTGTCTTAGCACTGTTTAAAAAAACATTGTTGAGACTTCATCTCTTTTGGTTGTGCTTCAAGTTTCAGAGCCATGTAAAACAACTGACCTTACTAGCGATTAACTAATTATGCTGTTTGTATATTTTTTCAGGCATGTGGAAGGGCTTGTTCCCCAGGATCATCATGATTGGAACACTGACCGCCCTCCAGTGGTTCATCTATGACTCCGTTAAAGTGGCATTCCGCCTGCCCCGACCACCACCACCAGAGATGCCAGAGTCACTGAAGCTCAAGCTTGGTCTCAATTAAGCTGCATATTTGAAGAATTATGATGATGATGATGATTTAAAGAATTAATGGCCTCTAGACAGTACTCTGTAACTAATTTAACAAATTTAAAACTAGGCAAACAGTGGAATTAATATATAGCCAGTGAGTTGGATGTCTCCAGAAACCATAGTGCAAGTGATGTAGATATGTTTCTTGTTGTTTATATGAACAAAATTTCCAGGGACCCTTATTTGATCTGATGTCTACACCAATCCATTCCAACACAGTGAATATTTCCTGTTGATACATTCATGTCTTTACTGTTGTTAAAATGTGTTGTTGGTCTTTAAAATCATGTTCTTTATAATTGTTATATTTTAGAAACCAAAACGTTCCATTTAAAATATGATCTTTTAACATGTTATCTGATGTTTACACATGTTATTTGGTGTGGTTCTATATATTTACCCTTTGCAAATGTAACATTTGTATGTGTGACTTGAACATATTACCATCAGAATTGAGTGCCAAATTTTCAACTTGCCTGTAATTTTCAAGATAATATATTTATGTACATTGATACAGCTGTGGAATGTAAGCTGTAGCTTGTTTCTGTAATTCTCTTTATAGTTTGGTCAGTGCACTTAATATTGGCTTGTCAGATGTCTCATTTCTTTGTCAGAGGTTTGGCTCAATAAACAAAAACACACTTTGGCATCAGTATGTTTGGTTGTTTGTTTAGTTTAGTTTTATACTTATTTTCTATAATTATAGTATGTTAGGGGAGGGGGGTGACTTGTATTATGCTTTTGGTATGAAAAGTGCAAGGGCAAATTTATAGAAAATAAAAATGAGCAACAGCAGTTCTAATGCTACTTGAGTTGGTAATGTTTTAGTTCTTTCATTTCATAAAAAAAATAACAAATAAGTGAAAAATTAATAAAAGTATTCCAATGGCAGTAAACTAGCAAATGATTCATAGTATCTTCACCACCACTTTATGCTATCTGTGTCAAACATGGATAGTATGTAAAGCATGAAAACATTTTGCCTGTATAATGCACATTTAGGAAAGGTCACAAAATCAAGGAGGGAGAGGGTCACGAATACCAGTATTTAGAGAAGGTTGGTGCAAGACCACGTCTGAATTATATTACTCTGAAAGATGGTTTAATCATCTAGTAAGAATGCAGCCAGACCAGACTGTATCATACTGTAAGCAGAACTCTGGGTGGAAGGTGAGAAGATGACCAAGAAAGGGTTGGATAGAAGGCATAGCTGAATTTTGCAGAAAGAGGTACAAAATCGCCACTAACAATGCTAAGAATCGCAAGGCAGTTATAGAAATCCACCACACTAGCTACAAACTGGTAACTGTGATAACGGAAGAGGATGAATAGATTATACTCTCTTTGGAAGTATTGGTCTCACTTATAAAAGGCCCATTTTTTTTCTTCACTGCACCCTTGAGGTGCTGAGTTTGAGTCTGTTGACAATGAAATACCAAAAATCAGTTGATGAAACAATACAAATCAAAGCTGAATTCCAGCAGTCTGTATGTGATGAGCTGAATGCACACCTGGTTTTATCTGCATGTTCTAAACAGTTGTAAATTTTCAGCACTAGCTGTGCACAATTACTTACTTCGGAGCTTTGGAAGGGAATAGACGACAAACGAGCAGACACAACAACCAGCTTAAAAGACCCTCTTGTGGACGGGAAAACAAAATGTATATCACAACTAGCTTAAAGAAGGCACCAATAAAGGAGCAGTCAGAATGAAACCTAGACATGTAGGGATGAGCAATGAACTTAGACAGGGAAACTAAGTCATCTAACTCCTGCACAAATACACAAATATAACCAAAGGTCGATTTCTTGCCAGTAGACTGGTGGGACAGGAGAATAAATACCAGCTGGGAATGCCAGGGGCCGTAACTTTAGAAACAATTGGGCAGTACAGTCCCCAAGGAATACCTCTACATTGCAGAGGATAATCAATCAATCAAACTTATTTCTTCATCTTGTAGTCCTTGCCAGGTGGCACTGGTGACCATGTCTGTCATATGCACAGTCAGTAATTACTGAGACCGATCCTCTTCCATGACCAGCTAGCTGTTCAACTTCAGCATTCTTTCTCTTGGGCTCATTTCCTCTTTAACTTTCCCATTGTTGTGACAGATTCCAGTTGTCCTTTTATGATGTGCCTAAAAATATACACTTGACTTTTTAATGATGCAGTTAGCGGCCATGGTGTAGTTGGTAGATGCCAGCCCGCAGATCAGAAGGTCATGGATTCGAATAAAAACCGGAGCTGCATGGTCTTCGCTCAAGTTGATTGTGTAGTAACGCTTCTCGATAAAAAGAAGGACCAAACAATAGTAGAAACATTAATAATGGTAGTAATATTAGCAGTTATCGTACTAGCAGCAGTAGTATTTATGACAGTATCTTCATGATAACGGTTGTGGTGTTAAGAAGCTGGCTGGGGAGGCAAAGCTGGCGAGATATTTTTTTCAGGGACCTGCGTTGGGAGCGACGTTCTGCATACGACTTGTTACATAAGAATACGCGTTACTGTAGCAATGGTAATAATTGTGCTTGTTAAAGAAGGTGCAGGGAGAAAGTTGTAAGTCTTCTTCTTTTTCTTGGCGTTCACCGGGGGGAAAGTTCTGGCTGTTCATCTACTTGTGGACTTTGGTCTCGTCTCTTTTACGTGCGCATCCGTTTTACAGATCTGACTTATTTGTATGTATATTATTGATTCCTCTCTCTTCAGACAGATGCAGCCCGAATTTGAAGGATACACACCTAATCAGCCTTTTACAACTTGCTTGTTATGTGTCAGTGGGTCTATCGCCTACCTCCCAAAATGAGCCTTAGAACCCACACGGGAAGTCATAAAGAAGATCCAAGTAATCAAGGATGAGAATTTAGGAGTTAATACCACGAAGACAAGACTTGAGGCAATAGCTAGAATACTATTTCAAAAATAAATGTTAGTATTAGGGCTGTAACGAATATTCGCTTCGTATTCGCTTCGGGGCCGAATAGTGGACCTATTGACTATTCGGTATTCGGCCGAATAGTTGCGGTCGGGCCGAATACGAATAGTAGTTAATTTACACCCGCTTCTTCATACACGGCCTTAATGCTGGCAACATGGAACGATTGGTTTTGTTTAAAGCTAATGCAGCTTTCCTGCATTAACTAAGCTGTCAGTGACCATTTCCAAGTTTAGTTACTTGTTATAATACTTGGGAGTCTTTCACTCCTAGTTATTAGTTACCACAGACTGACTGAAGGATGCAGAACTTAAAATGTTTTTAAATATTTACTATTCTGTACGAATACTAACTAGACATGGAAAGAATATAAACTCCGGCCACATACAAGTCGATAATATGAAAATCAAACGAGCGGAAACATATAAGTATTTGGGTGCAAACTTCAACTGTTCCAACATGCTGAGAGAAGAAATACAATCTAAAATACAATCTAGAAATAAAGTATACTATGCCCTTCAAAATCTGCTAAAGTCCAAGTGTCTGTCTCGCAACACAAAGATCAAAATATATAAAATGTTGATAGGACCAGTCGTTTTATATGGGTCTGAAACTTGAAGCAGAAATAAAAGAGATGAGGCCTTATTACAGGTTTTCGAAAACAGTCTTACAAATCTTTGGACCCATCAAAGATGCTAACAGCGGGGAATGGAGAGTGAAAAGCAACAACGTACACATAAACTGTTTAAATCACCATTGATCACTGGCATCACAAGAGCTAACAGACTAAAATGTTTTGGCATTTTGAAAGAATGTCAGATGTCAGAGAAGTAAAACTGTATACACCTGAGAGAGGAATGGGCGTAGACCACGAGGCAGACCCACAAAAAAAAAAAAAAAGATATAATGTCTAGCCAGACCTGCAAACAACTGGTGTCACAAATTGTGAAGGTAAGGTCAGCCAGTGAGATGAATGGACACTAGTGATATCTGCAGCAGTAAACCTCAAGGGCTCAGAATGCTAAAGAAGAAGATGACTATTCTGGGCTTCTTTATGTGAAGTAAAAGTTCAGCGTACATTTGACATTATGAATGTTATATATATATATATATATATATATAGTTTAGAATAGTTTATAGTGTATTATATATATATATATATATATATATATATATATATATATATATATATATATATATATATATATATATATATATATATATATATATAATACACTATAAACTATTCGTATTCGGCCGAATAGTGAAAATCACTATTCGGTGCAGCCCCAGTTAGTATACGTTTAAAAAAAAAATTCTTTATACAATGCATTCACAACCTGGTCGACTCCAATTTCAGGCACGCAAAGATGTTCTTTTGCGAGGAAATACAAAATTCCTACTTGCAAACATTGTCAGACCCCTGGCGTTCTCCTGTGTATGCAGGAAGCAATGTCATGTTGTATTAGTAATAATAGGAAAGTGTACTCCCTGCCCGTGTTCACTGGGGCACAAGCAATGACGATTTAGATAATGGGGATAAAGGATATCACCATCATCAAGTGCTTCGCGACTGGCATGGGTAATCATGCCTCTCCACAATCTGCTATCTTCAACAGCATGTATCATTTAGTGTTTAGGCAACCCTCCATGCCACGACAAAAGGCTTTCAAGAATCTTCTTGCGTTATTTTCTCCACAGATTTTTCGTGGTCACAAGTTCCAGTTTCCTTCTTCTCATAACAAATAAATTTTACTGACTCTTTCCTTGATGTTTGTGGTAAGTTGCTTTCGAGCCCTCACCTTCCAAAACATCTGGGTTGTTCTTTTGACTGTCCAAGGAATTCTAAGAATTCTTTTTTAAAACCACATCTCCGAGGTCTCAGTGCATTCTTTATCTTATTTATTAACTGCCCAGGATTTACAGCCATATGTTAAAGTTGGCTTTATACAGCATGCAAGGATTCCATATATGTATATATATATATATATATATATATATATATATATATATATATATATATACACACATATA